GGGGGCGGTAAGCCCCGGAGTGGAGTTGAGGACATCGGCGCCAGGGACTTAGGTGAGGGGCGTTGGCGACATGGGAGGAGATGTTCGGGAATTGGTAACAGGACTAGGTCTCGGTGGACGCTGCTAACCCGAAGGAGAATTTGATGGTCTGGCTGATAAGATAGGGCTCTTACAGAGGACTGTTCATGACGGAAGCCTGGGGCGTTAGTGACGAGCGGGATTTTGGACGTGTGAATGACAGGAGTCTGGTGGTTAGTGATGGCGGGGAGGGGGCTTCTGCTTAGGGCTTTGACAGTTTGGGGAGTATTGTGTGGAGTAACAGGTTGGGGGCTCCCTACGGGACTGTGTGCGGAGGAATACTGATGACAGCCCAGGGGTTCAGTATTAAGGACAGCCATAATAGGTTGTCTCGGACCTAGAAATGGAATTTAAACAAATCCAATTTCCTTCCTTTATTCATGCACAAGTGTTTCAATGAATAAACACTTAAGAAAAGTTATCAAAAATATGCATCCGAGGACTGTAACGTCACACTAATCACAGAGACCCCTTAACCTTAACAGGCAGAGGAGTTAGAGGTGACTATCAGACACTGAGAATTCCCCTGATAGCTGATCATGAGATGGGTTTCTTTGGCAGTCAGCATGAGATTCGGCAATCACAGCACAAGCTCTATGTGCATGTGTCATCTGCCTGAGCCTTCAGGATCTCCAGTGATGTCATCCCTTTCTTCCTTGCAAAGTCATCAGGGCAGTCTACTCTAGATCGTCGTATGTTTATGAGCTGGTGAATATGCAACAAGAATACTTGCTTAATTGGGCAGATGATCCTTGCCACATGCCTATAATTCTGATGCATCTGAAAGGCCTATATGTTTGAACATTGTCATTCATCATTTCCTATCGTTGAAATTCCTGATGGATGCTGTGGAATCTAACTTCATTCTAAAATTATTTTTGTTATTTTTAAATTGTGTGAGCAACCCAAATAGTTTTTTGTTTGCGTGCTTGTTTTTAATGAAGTGAAAAATCCTTTGAATTTCATACCAAAAATTATTGTTGTTGTGTATAAGAACATGTTCTAGATGCTGGGAAAAACAGTGAACAGAACAGACACCTCTGCTCTCATGGAGTTTGTATTCTAGTGAAACAAGACAAAAAATAAATGTCAGGTATGATAGGTGCTGTTCAGAACAATAAAACAGGGTTGTGACTAGAGAGTGATGGCATGATAGAATGCTAATTAGATAAAATGGTTGCCAGATCTAGGAACAGGAAACCCTTATGACTGGAGCTGAATAAACAAGGGGGAGTGTGTTAGGAGATGAGATAAAATAGACCTAGACTATAACAGTTTTGACTTTTGAATTCCATGTTAAGCAGAGGTGTGATGTGATATGACTTTCCTTTTTAAGTGACCAGGCTAGCTTCAGTGTAGACAGTAGACTATAGGGGCTTTGAGGATGGGAGCAAGGGGAAGAGTTAAGAGGCTATTGTGATAATCCAGGTGAAAGACGATAGCTTAGACCAAGATGGTGCCTGTGCAGTTGTACTCTAAATATATTTTGAAGATAACTGACAAAAGTTGCTGATAGAGCAGATATGATCTGTGACGGACAAGTCAAAGTCAAGACTTTTGGAAGGATGGAATTGCCATTTACTGAAATAGGTGGCTTCAGCTTGGGGGATGAGAATGAAGAGTTTTGTTTTTGCTATATTAAGTATAAGATGTCCAAGAGACACATCCAAGTGAAGATGTAGAATAGGTGAATGGATCTGAGTCTCAAATTCAGGAGAGAAGTATTTAAAGCTATTGAACTAGATGAAATTAGCTAGAGAATGAGTGAAATATGTAAATATCTGTTTTTAAAATATATCTTTGTTGATTTCAGAGAGAGGGAGAGAGAAAGAGAAGCATCAATGGTGAGTCATGGATTGGCTGCCTCCTGCATGGCCCCTGCTGGGGATCCAGCTGGAAACCCCGGCATGTGCCCTGACCAGGAATTAAACCTCGATCTTCTGAGTCATAGGTCCATGCTCAACAGCTGAGCCACACCAGCTGAGCTGTAAATATCTTTTTTGCACATAGAATCAAACACTGAGGAATGAAGATGGTTGTTCACCATCTGATTGTGAGGCAGTGGAGGAGTTAAAAATTGGACTTGAAAACCCTGCTTCCCTTTACAGAGCTGGTCATTGTGTCCTAGTTGAAGGCATTTGTATGCCTCCTTTCACAGGGAAGAGCTTAGTACACTTCTCAAGGGAACGATCCACCACCCACTAATCCATAGGCATGACACCTGATGATCTCAGTGATGTGCAATGTCTTTCTGTTTTCTATCTTTACCTGTTTTCATGATGTCTCTTTCCAATTCACCATTCTAAATGACTAATCTGCCTTGATGATATACACCACCTTCTTTACCTATTGGGCAATTATATTTGGCCTATTGAATGCTGTATGGACACTGGATGCCTTCCTTGAGGGGGTGGTTATTGAAGAGGTGAGTCAGAAGAAGAAATAGGATACTGAGTACATGCAATTATACATTAGCAGACATTTAAAACAGACTAAATTTCAAATGTTGGAGAGGTGTGTGAACATGGATACTGAGGGATGGCTTAGGGCACTGGGGCTGACACAAAGCCAAGTGAGGCTTATCCAGAAAGATTTCAGAGAAAATGTGAATCTTATGTTTTTGGAATGGTACATTTTTAAAGGATAAACTTTCCTTAACACATAGAAACAAAACCTGTAGTTGGAAGAGGAAACTGAAAAGCTAAAGTTTCAGTGATATAGGTAAATACCGAGGTGAAGGAGTTGGAAAGCCTTGAAGCAAACATTCAGGAGTTCTAAACTGATTCAAACGATCCTGAATGGGAGCTTCTAGAAAGGAACAGAACATAACTAAAATGTGTAGTTTTAAGAGAATGACTCCTTTTTTTTTTATCCTTGGAGGTGTCCTTGCAGTTATGGATATGGAAACCGAAAAGTTTGAATGCGTGAAAATGACACAATATACACAGATCTTTAGCATTAAAAAAAAAAAAAATCTAATGTTTTGTCTTAAAGAATTGAAATAGAAGCACAAAAACTAGCTTCCTCAAATCATGGCATCAAAAAGTAAATATTCGTATCCATTATTGTTAAGTAGTTTTGCAAAGCTCATGGCATCTCAGGGGAGGCTAAAGCACTTCATACACCTAAATTCTTAGCAGTCACCTCCCTGTTTAAGCAGTAACTAAGCTAACACTAGCTACAATATGTGTTTCCTTCTGCTGAAAGAAGGAGCTTTGAGGCAAACACCTCCTTCCTCAGAGCAGAGCCACCCTCCGAAGATGACACTGAAACCATCTATTCTAGAATCTTATTTTAATGGTTATTTAAATAAAGGAAAGTCATCTACTTAATGCATAGATACAACATAATGTCAGAATGGTAAGATTTAAGAAATACAATTACTGTATTTAAGAGTTGTGTGGCCACCCCAGAAAAGCTTTAAAGCAAGAATGAGTAGTACTGGACCCGATGCCTAATGACACTGCCATCCTGGACTGTGGTAAGGACCCTGGATAGTTCTTCCAGATGGGCAGGTCTTGACCTCTCTCTGTTTGTGTTAGAATCTTGGCTGTTCTCTTCATCTAAAAGCCAGTTTTAGGTTGCCTTCAAAATATGGGCATCAACTACTGGACTCCATTATGAGCACAAACCTCACACCGTCTTGGCACTGTAATGTGATCCTTCAAGGCCTTTTGATGAACTTGGATGTGAACCATGCTTTAAAAAAAGAGGGAGAAAATCCATCTGCCGTGTTGGAAATACTGGTTTGGGGCAGGGGGTGGGAGCATTCAATTCAGTGATAAGCCAATGTTACCTTTGGGGAGGACCAGAGCTTCCCCTAAAACCGGCAGACCAGCTTGTACCCAATACAGGATAACAATAACAGAGAGAACTGTGTAATAATTATTCTTTATCCCACTAAGAACCAGTAGATTTGTGTCCTGTTTCCGTGTCTATGCTGCTATGGAGTATAGTGAAAGCAATAGAAAATCTGGAGACCAAGGGACCTGAGTTTGGTCTTAGTCCAGGACCAGATCCAAGACCACGGACACACATATGTTGTGTATTTTCCTTCAATGTAGGATGTGCTGGGACTGGTTGGACATAAAAACTGTTGATTCATACTTAACGAAAGACACAGAAATATCTACTTTGAATCAACTTTCGTGAAAATCTTACTTTACACAAATATTAACACAACAGCTACGATTTGGGCGCTCAGAAACCTAATACCTACCCCTCCGCCTTCTGGAAAACATGGAGAGCGAGGTCGACCGTCCCCGTGGACACCGCCCCTCCTCAGCTCCACCCCTACCAAGGCCGCGCGTCCTTGTTATTGGTTCCCTTCCTTGCGCCGTCGGTTGCCCTGGAGACCAAGGCTATGGCAACCAGGAGAAGCCAAACTTGCTCATCCCTACCCAACCGCGAAGGGGTCGGGGGCGTGCGGACGCCCTCCGCGCAGTGCTCATGGCGCTTTACGAGCTCTTCTCTCAACCAGTCGAGCGTGGCTACCGCGCGGGGCTCTGCTCCAAGGCCGCGCTGTTCCTGCTGCTGGCCACCGCGCTCACGTACATCCCGCCGCTGCTGGTGGCCTTCCGGAGCCACGGTGAGCCTTCCCCCGGTCGGTGCGCGCCACAGGCCCCCTCACCCGCTGCTGCCGCATCTCAGCCGGCCTCCCTGACCTCTTCCCCTCCACCTTCCCGCCTTTTTTACCTCAGGGTTTTGGCTGAAGCGGAGCAGCTACGAGGAGCAGCCGACCGTGCGCTTCCAGCACCAGGTGCTGCTCCTGGCCCTGCTGGGACCCGAGCGCGGCGGGTTCCTCGCCTGGAGCACGTTCCCCGCCTTCAACCGGCTGCAGGGGGATCACCTGCGCATCCCGCTCGTCTCGGTGCGTGGTTCCTGACGGGGCCTCGCTGCCCACCGGACGGGGCGCGGGGAGGGGCATGGGGGAGGGGGCGAGCGGCACGGCCCCGGGGGAGCCCAGCTTCGGTCTCAAGGGTTCTCGAACCCACGGTGAGTTGTGTACACAGGCTCAGCGGCCTGAACGTATGTTTAACTTCCTGGGGAATAAATCTTGTTTCATTCGACTTCCCCAGACTGCCCACATCCCCGAGAAAGTTAGCCGCTGCCGTCCGCGTGCTCCCCGACCCGGAGTCCAGAAGCCCGCGGCGGCCTGTTTCTAGCCCCGTCATTTCCGTGGGCCTGGCCTGATGGAAGGTGGTCGCGAAAGTCCCTTTATGAGTCATGAAGGACGAGCTGTGTTCTCGTTACCACCCCGTCGTGTAGCAGCGATTGTGCATCCGAACACTAGGGACGGGAAGAGCGGGCATTTTTACGCAGACTCGGCCGCGGGAAGCCGGGACCCTGATTGGTAAGCGGCCCGCCCAGACCGGCCCTCCCGCCTCCCGGGGCTTGTCTCAGATGCCGCTCCATCCTGCAGCTTCCAGGATGGAAATGAAGCATTTACTGCCAGTAACTTCGTGTTTGGTTCAGGTTCCTTTACAGGCACCCCCTTTCCGCTCATTTTATGAAAACATTTTCCTTTAGAAGCATGAAAATTCTGGTTGTCCTTCTCCCAAAGTTGAATCCCTGTAAACATTTCTGAGGTGATTGGTCTGCAAGCCAAACGTCTGTAGCTGAAAAGAAATTCAGACTTTTTTCCAGCAACTAAATAAAATGGGGGGAAACATTAAATCTGATTAGTTATATGAAAAACTACAGACAAAATAGGATTCAGATTACTTTTTTTCTGATTACTTTAAATTTTCTTTTATATTTCCGGTTATAAAAATGCATGCTTATTGTAAAATATTAAAGAGCTACCGGTATATATAATGATATAAAATCAAAGGCTCTGTTTCCTACATGTATCAATACTTGTTAATCAGCCTTATTTATTCTTTGGAAGATCTGCAAGGTCTTTCATGATATAGAACAACTGTAATGGATTTAACCAGTTCCCTGTTGGTGGATAGGTGATCCGTTTTCACCTTTTCACTGTTACAATATTGCAGTGAACAAGATTTTGAATAAATATCAAATTGTGAGGGATTTCAATAGAATATTAAAAGCGTGTAAGTACGTAGAAAACTAAGCACGCAAATAAAATAATTATTAACTCCAGAGAAATAAAAAGTAAGGAAAAAGTGAGAAAGGTCATCAGAGTTGTGAATAGGATTTACATAATCAAATGAGAGTAACTATTGGTGGGATGGGAAGAGGTGTGTGTGTGTGAGTCTGCTCACATGTGTGCATCCCGTGCTGGTGGGTGATGGGTGGAAGAAAACAAAATCTCTGTCACTTCTCTTGGGAAGTCAACAGAGAATGCCTGAAATGAGATGAAACCATTTGCCATGGGGGTGGAAGCCCACTGGGTTTTGTAAGAAACATTGTTGAAGTCTTTGAGTCTTTAAATAACCAGGACTTTTAAACTGGTTTTAAAAATAGAACTGGAGTAGGAGACAAATGTCTTTCAACAGCTCCTCACTAATTATGACATGTCTACTTTTATTCTTATTTGAGATTATAATGCTTCTGAGGAAGGGTGTCTGTCTGTTGATGAGAGGCTAGTATGGAGATGTGCTTACCTCCCATGTGCAGGTTTCCTTTCTGGAAGTGAAAACAAAAGGTGTGTTTTTTCCAAACAAACATTTAACTTGTTAGTTGTACTTCAGATTAGCATTCCCTGTCTCTTAAATTTTGAGTAGCAGTTTTGTTTTTTACATTTGTATGTTCCTCTCTATCATACTCTTCTGGTTACTTGAGTCTAAGAAGTAATCATGAAAAACGGAAAATAATCCTGAAAACAAGTATGTAGCATTAGGTTTCCTTTACTTGTTCTTTTCACTTGTTCATCTGCCACAACTGGTTGACTCCCCAGTTGGACCGCTAGATAGCCTCTTATCTCTGTAACCAGAAACTACTCCCTTGAGAGCACTGCCCGTATTCACCCTGCTTCTGCTGTGTGTGAATGTATTCCAATTTTACGCCTGCAAAACTACCTCTTATTTCTATGGTGCCCAGAAATATTAATCCTCTTCAGTACTGGGTAATTTTTATGCTGTAAAACACAAAAACCAAAGCTGCTAATTTTTCTGTCTTTCCCCGCCCCCCTCCATTCTAGGCCAGTGTCCATAAGTAATTTATGACCTTGTCCTCTACAGTCTTTCTCAGTAACTGATTTGCTTCCTTCCTGGCTGAGCTTAAGGATTTCTTATTCCATATCTTATACCCTTAATCCTTATTGCAACAAAATACTTTACTTTTCTAGCTCTGAACATAAACCTAGACTGACTACAGCCCATCCAAGAAGCTGCCCAGGAAGCCAAGGAAGCAGTGGTTTTAGATGAAGGTTTGATCAAAGTCTGGGAGGTGATTTTTCCCTTGCTCATTTGGGAAAATGCCTCAGAAGTCAGAAATGACCTTGTTTCTTGTTTTGGACAGCGTCTCTCAAGTTCCTATGTGTGTTTTTTTATTTGTTTGCTTGCTCGTTTTTGTTTTTAACTATTTCCTGAAAGTCCGTGTTTTTAATGCTTTAAAAGTTGAGTTGTTTCAAATGAAAGAAAAAAAAGCACAGATAGACCTTTTCCCTCACTGAGCCTGATGTGGCTCTTCAAGGCATCTGTAGACCCAGAGAATGTGGGGGCTGAAGGCTATAGGAGGACTCAGGAAGATGAGTGGAGAATCCATGCATCTGAGGCACCTTATTTTTTTACATATCCGAAATCAGAGCGTGTCTTCCTGTCTGTGGTATCATACAGTGGCTGTTGGCCAGGGAACAGGCTTGATGTAGTCCTCATTGCCTACGCATGTGCAAACGTCAAAAATGCCAGCGCTGAATGTTGCAGAATGGACATCGGCAATGTGAAAGAAAACCCAAGAAGCAGTAGTAAAACACTGTTGTTGTTGTTTTCAGCTTTATTGAGATATAAATGACAAAATAGGAAGATAGTAAAACATTATTTTAACCCCTAAGAGCCACATGGAGTGGGTAGAGGGAAGGTTCAAGAGGCATTTCAAAATAGGCTAGGTCCATGGGATTTTAAAGCTTATGCAAGAGCCCAGACCAATGGATTTTAGTTCCCTATATGAGTTGTTTTTAAAGTGCTTTATCACCATTGTGCGTGATGGCGCAAAGGATGAAATTGCATAGGAAAGTATGGATATCATTGAGTCAATAGTGATTCGAAAGAATCATGACATGAAGTTTTAAGAATTCCTAGATCAATTTATTTTGCTTATAATTTTCTGTGTGCATAAGTATGATATCTGATGTAAATATGTCTAAGTCTAAAAGCTCTTTCAGCCTGACCAGTGTGGTTTAGTGGTTGAGCGTCCGCCCATGAACCAAGAGATCACCAGTTCGATTCCCAGTCAGGGCACATGGCCAGGTTTCAGGCTCGATTCCTAGTAGGGGGAGTGCAAGAGGCAGCTGATCAATGATGTTTCCTTTCTTACTGGTACATAAAGTAATGGTGTATTTTATAATTGATGGTATCTTAGATTCACTGAAATACAGGTAGCAAGGATTTTTGTTGTTGTTGTTGTTGTTAGTCCACACCCAAGGATATTTTTCCCATTGATTTGTTAGAGACAGTGGAAGAGGGAGGGAGAGAGAGACATTGATGTGAGAGAGACACATCGATTTGTTGCCTCCCACATGCGCCCGGACCAGGGCAGGGAATCAAACCTGCAACCCAGGTACCTGCCCTTGACCGGGAATCAAACCTGTGACCCTTCTGTGCGTGGGCAGATGCTCTAACCACTGAGAAACACCAGCCAGGGTAGGTAGTAAGGATTTGATGAGTCTAGGAGCCCTGAAGTAGTGATCCCTACTTTGCAGGAGACCCAAAGACTGATGCCAAAGAGTATCTTCAACACAAAGAAGAAGAAAAGGAGCACAGTGATGACAAATATATGGTAATATGAACACTGGTATAAAGTAGGAAATTAACCTTTAATAAAAGAATATGCCTCGAAAGAATGAAAACAAACCATGAGATACTGTAGAATCCTTGATGGGGAAAATATTGCAAGTCAGGGCATTTGGAAACAATTTCACTCCTTAAATTTATAACAGCTCTTACAGTCAGATGATGTGTTGTTTTTCGGTCTTGTCTCAGCTCCAAATCCACCCTCTTATCCTCTGCTTTGTGATGATCACACTGAGATTCTGAAAACCACAGTCTCCTCTGCCCACTGACTCCCTGTTAGGTTCTGCCAGTAGGAGGCATGATGAACCTTGTTCTGGGAGTAGGAAAAAACTGGAAACTCAACCAGTTGCCACTGCCAAGGTGAAGAACCATTGCTGGGGTGATACACACGCCCCAGGAGTAAGTCTTTCACCCAGCCTTATTGATTGATTCCCTCTAGTGGGTTCCTTCTCCAAGCTCTGGAGGTACCAGTGCCAGCTGGGCAGCACTCCCCTCTTTAGGTCTAAGTCTCAGCTCCTTGAGGTAATGCCAGTCTCTTCCCTTCCTTCTCCAGCTCCAGGCATGGGAGCTGCTTTCTACAGTTACCCTCTCTGTGTTATCACAGCATTCCCTTTTTGCTTTTTTAGTTCTCTAATACCTATGTTACTAATTATCCCCTATGCTAAATTCCCTCTGTTAAAATAACTGTTTAGATTCTGTTTTCCTGATTGATACAGGTAGACTGATATGCACTGACTAAGTCCAGTGATGCCTATATTTATCCTATCTAGTATATTAGTATTGATTTCACATATATCTGGAAAGGATTACCTTCCTTTAACCACCAGAAATCTTTGAAGTTAGGGTTCTTGTGAGCTATTATAGAAGGAGCACTGAATCAGGAGTCAGCAAACCTAAATGCTAGTCCCAGTTCTGTCATTGGGTTCCATAGCCTCTCTCAGCCTCAGTGTAACTGTATATAAAGAACATGATAGTACCTACCTCTCTAATTACTACTGTTATTAATAAGAATATCTCTTGGGTATGCAGTGGGATCAAGTGGAACAATAAATCAGTGGATATAAGCATTTTTCCAAATTGTACATATAGAAATAAGATGATTTGATTTATGAATTATCTTAGTCACACAATTTGGTTTAGATAATAACCTTGAACTTGTGTTAAAGAAGTATTAGTTCTTTGAATGCCTGCCTTTATAGCTGTTGCACATGTGTAAAGATTGATTTTAACTAAATGGAGTTAAATAATTCATTTCATTATTGTTCCAAGTGGTAGCATAGAAATGTAGCCTACCTTGCCAGCCTTAGGGGAGTGAGATTCTAACTTGGTGACAGGTCATTGTGGGAGATGCACCATTTGCATCATCTCTTATCCCCATGGCTTTCTCTTGGCTCTCTTCATCCATGACTCTCCATCTCTCTCCTCTGCTCAGCTGCATTGGCCTGGTAACACTCCCTTGAACACTGCCCCACTTTTACTCAGTGCATGTTCACTTTGTTAGCCTGGATCACTTCCCACAGATATTTCCGTGCCTTTTCACCTCACTTCATTCAGGTTTCCAGCAGCCAGGTCTTCCTGATTTTTTTCTGTAAAAAAGTTTACCCTGGTGATTCTCTAATTTTAGATTGCTTCATTTTCTTTGTGGCACTTATCATTACCTAATATTGATATGTATTTACTTGTTTATTGATTTATTGTCTGCCTTCCTGGCTGGGAATGTAAGCTCCATTGTGGGGGGTGGGCTCTTGGTCTATATTGTTTGCCATTATATTCCTCACATCTGAAATAGTGCCTGACACATAGTAAGCCCTCAAAAATACTTGACAGATTAATGAGTGAACTTAACAAGTAGACATTAATTATGGTACTATGCCAGATAGCTGTCCTCTCTGAACCTGGAGTAAAAGTGTGTGCACAAACAAATATACAGACTTACACTCATACTTTCAGTACTGGCTTTTGCAAAAATATTTGTCCTACCCAACATCTTCTTGAGTTGTTTTGGGTTTTTGTTTTTGTTTTGTTTTGTCTGGACATTTTAGCCCTGGAAAGAACCAGATTTGAAGTCAGAGATGTCATTTCAAATGCTGTCTTTACCATTACTAGCTGTACCCAATAAATCCCTTCACCTCCCTGAGCCTTTTCTCATCTATACAATGGAGATAATACTTGCTCTGCTTACCTTAGACTTATTTTAAAGATCAAATGAATTGCTTTTCTCTCCCTCCCACACTATGTTGGAATGTGTATTCTGGCAATTCCCTCCTGGCCACTATCCTCCCTTGCAAGTTGAGACATTTGGTCTTTGTCTTCCTGTTTAATCCTAAGGACCCAGAAGGCATAGATCCACTCCAGAGAATTAACCCGACTTTGTCTTCCAAGTTTTCCCAGATACCAACTGAAGAAGATTCAGAGAAAGACAAGGCAGCCTCTTTTCTATCCTAATCATAATAACTAATACATAATTGCCTCAGTAACTTGATCGATAGTGCTGGTAACAGATATCCCTCTGCTGCACCTGTGAAGCTGATAGAACAAGACAGTATCCAACAGAAAACAGAGGGCAGGTTTCTCTATAACAAGGCCTAGGATAAGGACATTATTGTCTAGGAGGAAAGAAACAACTGAAAGTTTCTGAAAACAGATATCTCCATCTCTAACGACCTTATTAGCCTGAAAAAGAACAAAGAATCTCTTCCTTGCATAATGATATTGGTGGAAAGAAAAATGAGTCAGTAGATGGAGAATTCAGATGGGAATGTTGATACAACATAGTAAAACCTTCTGGGAACCTACACTGGGAAAGGATCAGTTGTAGCAACAAGATTAAGTTGTGCCAAGGAATCATGTCAGCAGTGATCACATTTCGGTAACCATTCTTTCCTCCTAGTCTTTTTAGGATCACTATGAGGCAAGACTGTGGATGGCAAGACTGGATACCAGTGTTTTTTTATGAGCTGTAATTTGTCTTTTTCCCTCCTAAGATCTGTTTTCCCTACTTTCATGTTCATAATTTATAAAGTATCTGTGTAGTTTTAACGACTTACTGATTTTCCAGAGCTTCCTTTTTCATTTTATTGATTGGTACTAAAAGATGCACTCAGCTCTAAAGTCTTGACAATAATGAGATGTGGTCCAACATTGAAAATCTGCAGCAAAGACATTTGTGGTTAAAGGATGTATATATAGAACTTGATGTTTTTCTGCTGACTCTGGGGAATGCATAATAATTAGTATTAGTCTCTTTTCTAGACAAGTAGAAGATAATTCTGATGTGCTATTTAAATTTTCCATACAAACTCAGGCATGTATATAAAAATGAAAAAAGAAAGATGCCAGCAACAAAACAAACAAAAAGATCAAATGAGACAACCGAAAAAGAAAAATGCCATCCAGATGTTTATTGTTGTTATTGCTACTTCAAATTCCTGTTTAGTTTGGCCCTTCAGTATTTGAGAAGCACAAGTATGAAGTTCAGGGGCCATGCACATTGCATCTCTTTCTCCAGTTTTCATCCCTTATACCTATTTATTTTTCTCTTTTTCTTTTGGTGAGGAAGGTAATACCTGTGTATAGCAGAACAGTGGGTCATTGTGTATGTACAACAGTGATATGGATTCTTCCTGACTTAATAAGGACCAAGGTCACTGGATCTCTTTGGGTTTCCTAGGCTAGAGAAGAAGACAAGAACCAGGATGGGAAAATGGACATGTTACATTTTAAACTGGAGCTTCCCCTGCAGTCTACGGAGCATGTGGTTGGTGTGCAACTCATCTTGACTTTCTCCTACCAATTGCACGTGAGTCAATTCCCGAGGGAAGCCTGTCCTCTCCCTTTTGTATTTTAATGGAACAGAGACCTCTTTCTGGTTTCTAAGAAAACTCACACTAGAAAAAGGCTCTTTTCTGAGGTGTAGTTTGGAATTTAACTTAGGCAGATCAAATGTTTTCCCTTTTTGTTTTGTTTTGTTAATCCTTACCCAAGGATTC